GCCCGTCTCCGGGCCGTTCTTGGTAAACGTCCCCTGCCTCTCAGGCCTACTGCACTGCTACCCCCTTTCTCTGGGGCTCACCGCACTGCTGTCCCCTTCTCCGGGGTTCACCGCAGTGCTATGCCCTTCCTCACAGGAGCCTTCTGCAGTGCTACGCCCTTCCTCAGGGGCTTGCCACGCCCGCACTGGGGCTTCTCAACCGCCCCTCTCTGGGGCTGGGGTCTATGCACCCCATACGCCGCGCCCTTACTGGCGCTGGGGTCCTCATGCTGCTGTGGGTCCCCTATGAGGCCTCCTCCAACCCCTAACATCCTCACCCAAACCACCGGTAATTAACAACAACACAACAGAAACTCGAGCCTCCTGGCTATAACATAAATATAAGCCACCTGGCTATAACACCATTGCTCAAACGTCCCAGAGCTGCCATCCTTACTCAGCTTAAGCTGGACCTGCAGTCAGGCTCCTTCTCACCTCTTTGCCTTGGGAGCTCCTGTCTCTCTGGCTGCTGGCAGTGAACTGCCTCGGGCCTCAGCTCCTGGCTTTATAAGGGCCAGGTCCTGCCCCTTGCAATCAGCTGACTTCCTGGTTGCCCTGGCAACCCACAGATGGGATCCTTATTCCCTGCTAGGGCTCGGGCCCTTTCCCTGGCAGTTTCCCTTCTCTAGGAGCAGGGCACCTCAGGGCTCTGCGACACAAGGCAAGAACACTTCTTAAAAAACACCCCCAAAACCCCAAAAAACCCATAGCAGAAATATGTATTTAACCTCTCCATTCAATGGATTAATACCTTTGAACCATTTAGTAAGAAGTATTTCCCATCTTCACTCAACTTGGCTCTTGTCTGGATGGATGCAGCATCATTTCCACTATAATGTAAATTATTTGTTAAGGTTTGTTATTAAATGAACACACAAACGCAAAACAACAAATACACCAATGTTGTTCCAATGTCTGAAGTTCTGTTTCTAAATAAAAATCAAACCTACTAAAAGCAATGGCCACAAAAGAAACATGCCTTTAACTGAGATTGTGCGAGTTCTAGATTTAAACATGCTTTACGCCGAATTGTTTCATATTGTTGATTTTAGAAACGTGGCACAAACATATTCTAGAACGCTACAAAAGCAACTCAATCCTGCCACACTTAGAAGTATATGAATGCATGATTAAAATCCAGTCTCCTAAAAGAAGAGTTGGTTTGAAGCATATAGGCAACCTCCTCAAAATTCATGCTCTCATGACTGCACATCCCTAAAGCAAGCAATGCCAAAACTAAAACAAAAAAATGCTCAGAGAATCAGCATTTGTGTACATTAACTGCTGCAGTGTACTGATAAATTAACAAGTCAACTACTTCAACTTTCAGGATAGTAATGAAAAAGTCTGAATGCTCTCATTCTTCTTAATTTGGAAACTTTCCCTGCAGTCACCATCTATTTTTTATAGGTAAACTGACTCCCAAAATTCCAATTTGAAAAATGTCACTTGAGGCTGAGCCATAATGTTATTTGTTGCATGGACTGAAAAAAGGTAAAGTTTTTACAAAAACAGTCTCCCTCAATATTTTAAAGGCATTCAACTGTTAAAAAGGACTCTAATAAAATGCACTGTAGGTTACAACATACTGTCTCTCAGTGACTTCAGGGCAAATTTGAAAACTTTAAAACTTATCAACTGTAAAAATTTGAAGTTGCAGCTGACAGTTATTAGGCTTATTGCCCCTCAATCCTTTTAAAATGAAAACTGGGAAACCATCTGTAATAAATGTTGTATTTAAAGTATACCCTTTCTGTGTTGGTTAGAACATGAAATATTCTGATGTTACTGATACAGCACTAAATAACGTCCTAAATAAATGTACCTTCTCCTGCCTTAAATTGTTCATATGGGCTAGATTTCACTCAATTTCAAAATTAACTTTCAAGTTTCTAAGGCAACCACTTCTGGAAATAAAATTAAGCTAAACAAATATATCATAAGAATTTTAAAATTTGGTTGCAGGTGCCTATATTCCTCTGTGCATCGCTTGCTAGAAGAATTAAAAACAATCCCTTTGACTACAGACCATACCTTCAAAATGGAAAGGCTTTTAAAGCGCAAAATATGGTTTAGGATTAAAAATAAGTCTAGAGTGAGGCTACCACCTCATAATAGCACTCAAGGCAAGTCAACCAAGTGACTATTACAAGAAGGTCTAAAATAATACTAGTCCACTGCTAAAGTTCAGACAAAATTTTATTATCCATAAAAAGATAGCTTGTAACTAAGATTTATCACTCATTAGATCACTGAAGCAATCTACAGCTTTCATTTATATTTAAGACTTTTTGAAAACTTGGTACATTTTTCATAATTGTTATGCAGAAGGCAGGGCAGGGCGGCACCTTAAAGACTAACTTGTTAAAAATCAAGAAAAAATTAGTAATTTAATGGAAATTACAACATGTTGCTCCATGGAAGAAAGTGGATTATGTAGTTTAAAATATCATTAGTTAGAAACACCGATTTTATACTGGAGTTACACACCACAGATGTGATTCTAAGTAGGTAAACAGACAAGGTAAAGCAAACTACCTGGTATTTACCTTCTAAAAAACAAGTTAGTGTTTAAGGTGCCACTGTGCCCTGCTTTCTGCCCGACTTCTGTCCAACACAGCTAACTACCTCCCTCTACTTATAATTGTCATTAAATAGTTTTTTTGAGTTTCTATGAAGCTATTTAAATTGTCCGAGTTTCAGAATGTTTCTAACACAGCAACTAACCCTTCATTTGCTATTTATTTCTGTCAACACATTGAATGAACAGATGTCTCTGGCCTAGGAAGGGTTGGAAGAATTAATGCAACTTAAATCAAATAATGCTTAATAATTTAATGGAAACTATAATGTGCAGCTTCATGGGAGGAGATGGATTATGTAGTGTGAAATATCATGTTAAAAACATTGACTGTATATTGTAGTAACACACAACAGATGCAATTCTAAATAAGTGAATAGCCATTTTAACAAACAAGCTAATCGGCATTTGTCAGCAAGAAAACAAAATATTTTCCTATTTAAACCATTCAAAGCAAATAAAAATAGTACCTCCCGGTTTCTGTAAGGCAAAAAGCTGCAATATGCTCCCCAGATGCCAATTTAGGCAGGTACTTTGCTTTCTGTTCATCAGTGCCAGCAATCAGAATTCCCTAAACAAATAAATTAATAAAAGACTTAACATCCTGATATGTAAGCAGTACCACTTAGCGCGCACAGTTTAGCTCACAGTATAAAGAGGCTTAATTAATACATTACAAATACATTATCATTATATTTTAATACACATTAAGCTTGTTCTGGACTGATTAACCAAGACTCATCAACTGCTTGCATGCCTTGATTTGTTATTTAAACTTCCTATTTCATAAGTAGAATTCTTTCTACCTGTTAGTCTCAAACTGGCCAATGATAACAAACATGGACAGAGGTGGTTAGCTGTGTTCAGCAGAAGGTAGGACAAGGTGGCACCTTAGGGCCCAAGGAGACATTAAATTTATGGAGAAAGTCCACATAATTAAAAAAAAAAAGTCACCTGTCAGTCTTGCATATATTGTGTTCATCTACATTATACTATTATATGCAAGACAGATACAAGACAGCTATAAACAAATCATATTTTTAAAGCCAGTACCTACAGGCATTTTGACACACGAAAGCACCGTAGTGCTGGGTGCCTTGAGCAGCGCCCAGCACTGCATTGCTTGCAATTGTATAAGCAGCAAAATGCATGTCAACGCTGAGAAAATGGCAGTGGCTTACTTTTGAACTAAAACACATAGAAGGTGCTTTAGTTCAAAAGCATACTGCTGCCATTTTCTGCATGCTGATGCACATATCGCCACTTATACCACTGCATGTAGCACAGTGTGGTGCGCATCAGCTCATACTGATTAACTGAGTCTACTCTGAAGCGGTGGATCTCCAGCGTGTCGCACGACAAAAAGATGTGTATAAATGCCCTGTGTGCCAGTTCTGAGGTGCGAGTGGGATGGGAACTCAGATATGGAGTTCTTCCCAAAAACTCATGTTGTTTATATCTGGGGGGGAGGTGTTGTTTTGTTTTTTTAAATATATTTCTTGTTGTTTTCGTTGCATTTTTGTCTGTCTCATAGTTTATAAGTCTTCTTAAAAATATGATGTGGTGCCATGTCTTCTACATATTAAATGCCTTGGGAACAATTCCCTGCTGCATAGATTTTTTGGGTCGATACCAATGGCCGATTTTTGACTAGCCTTACCAGGCGATACCGATCCAATTGTTGATATGCAGCCCAGCTGGTAAGTCAGTTGGGGGGAAGGAGTGTGAGGGAGGGAAATGTCATGAGGGAGGCAGTTCAATGCCCCCATGGTGAGGGAGGGATTGGGCCGGGGCAGGCACTGCCCAGCTGAGGCAGGGTCTGGAGTGGGACAGAGCCATGGTTTGCCCGAGGGGGGGAAACGGCTCCCGCTGCTGTGTGCACCCCCAGGGGAGGCACAGGGGGCACGTGGCCCCCTGGATCTTTGCGTGGGACAAAGGTGGGCTGCCGCTAGGGACTGAGGTCAGGGCTGCTCCAGCCTCTTCCTGGTGGCTGCGCTTGGGCTAAGCGGGCAGCAGCAGTGCTGAGAGCGGGGCTACAATGAATTTTGGGGTGGCTGTAGCCCACCCTGTAGCCCCCCTCAGCACCACCACCACCACCTGCCCTCACCCTACACAGATCCAAAGGGCAAATATTCCCCATGACTCCCATGCTCCCCCTCTGCCCCTCAGATGAGCCGCGGCTCTGTCCTGCGCCCTGCCCCAGCCCCATTACTTCCCCCGCAACAGACTTATCAGCCAGACGCTGCTTCCCAAGCTGCTGGGCTGCGTTCTTGGCTGCATGCATACTGTAGCTGTGTGCATGCATGCAACATTTATCAGTGACATTATCAGCTACATATGCCAAAAAAGGCCGATAATCTTAATTTTCCTTTTATTGGTGCCAATACAATATGGACCGACGTACTGGTGGATCTCTACTATTCAGTACTGGTGACACCTCACCTGGGGTACTGTGTCCAGTCTTAGGCCCCACACTTCAAGCAGTGTGTGGACAGTTTGGAAAGAGTCCAACAGAGAGCCACAAAAAAAAGATGTCTGGGAAGCATGATGTATAAGGAAAGGCTGAAAGAACTAGAGTTATTTAGTCTGGAGAAGAATAGTGTGAGGGGGAATTTGATAACAATTTTCAAATACCTAACGGATGATTACAGAGAGGATAGAGACAGACTTTTCTCTGGCTATAGGGCAGTGCAATGGCTCAAACTGCAGAAGAAATTTAGGTTGGATTCTGGAGAGAACTTTCTGATTCTGAGGAAGGTCAAACATTGGATTAGTTATCTAGAAAAGCTGCAGAATCCACATCCCTGGAAATTTTCAAGAAGAGACACTTGAATAATAAAGACACTTGGCTGGGATGGTTTAGTTAGGGATGATCTTGCCTTAAGTAGGGGACTGGACTAGATGACTGTAACAGGGAGCCTGAGCTCCTATTACTTTAACAGGAAAGTGCAGCAGGCTAATCTTGTGTAGGCAGGCAGCTGAGCTAAAGCTAGCTGCACTGCAATAAACTTGCAGTGTGGGGCAGATTTCCAGGCAGCCTGAGAGTGAAGGTTGTAAGCAGCTGGGTTAAGGCGGTTTGTGCTCTAAGGCACAGACAGAGCCAGGGGCCAGAGTCAGAGGAGCAAAATGCGGGACAGCCAGACACATGAGACAGATAGTGGAGGGACTAAGGCTCATCAAGGCTAACTTGAGATGGTAGTCATTTTCCAAGCAAACAGAAGCAAAACATCATTGGGAAAAACATTCCTTATGGCTTGCTCTCTGTTCTCATAGATGTACAGTAATGGTATGTATGATATCTAATGGTATCCATAGTATTTAACATGATGTTTTATAAAAAAATTGTCAGAAGAGTCTAGTTTCTTCAGGAAGGAACTCCCCTACCTTCTGCACAAGCATGGGCACTGAATTAGCCTCTTTACCACTCCAATACAGCATGCATTAAATTTACTGGTATTACTGCATACACACTGTAAATAAAAAGGCATCCATTTCCAAAGCTCACAGTCAAACAAAGAACAGGTATGTGGCCTACCTCAAACTATTTTACATAAATGCATGCAGTAACATTTCAGTTCATTTTTACCTACTTGGTTGCATAGCACTTTACATGTTTATAGACAGGTCTTCTCATCAAAAAGCAAGACAAAACACAAAGTGTAAGTTTTCACACAAACAGCTAGTTTCCTTTGGTACCAGTCCAGAATGCTGAGTCTCAACAAATTTTTTTGCTCTTAGCCCAAATAGCCCAAGAATGGCCTCAAAAACAAAAGAATAACACCTGTATTTTGTACAACACTTGACATCAGTCTATTGCAGTGTTTTAATAAATGAGGCTAGCATTACTATTCCCATTTTACAGGAAGCAAAACTGTAAATTAGACAGTAAATACTTCAAAAGCACACCACATGTTTAGTTCTAGAAATCAGTTCCTATCATCAGGAAGAATTCACTATTTCCAGGTTTCAGAATATTGCTATTTATCTCATAGGAAATTACACTAAAAAGTTAGAAACCTGTATCTGTAGCATGGTAGAATTTTATTCTGCAATAAAGCACACTAATTCCAAGTCGTCTAAACTTCCTCAGTCTGCTGCCTCTGCCAACCTACCTGTACATCATTGCCTTCTTCCTATCAAATGTCCTCATTTTAGTTGCCTGTTTAGGTAATGCATACAAATTCAATATTCTCACTTAAAAAAAAAAATCTCTTGAATTAGTTGCTAAATTCACAAAACTGAGTTTAGAGGGGAAAAATTCAACAAAAACCCATCTGTTACTATTTCCTGCATTATAAGCTTCACATTAGATCTTCATCCTAATGTTTGAACCCTACACTGAGCTCCCGGCAGGAGAAAAGTAGGAAAGCCCCTAAACAGCCTACAGCAAATACAAATTTAAAATGCATCATTACCCATGCATGGGTAAATAAGTCTTCTTTGTTTTTATTAGCCTATTTCAGGTTTCATCCACAAGTACCTGACCTTTGAATACATACATCTCATCTGGCCTCTACAAATAAAATACAATATGTAAGGTAATAAAATAACCTTACCTTAAGCCCAATAGTTTGATGAGCTGCCAAAGTAACTGCAATAGATGCATCCAGAGAAAATATTTCTCCTAAGTATGCATACATAGTATTTGAAAAACCAAGACCACCTAGAAAAAAGTTAACTTGTGTAAATATACAGCAAACTTTAGGAGTGTTCCTACAGAAAGAAATAATTGAAGCACGGAAACAACAATTAACTTGGAAAGACTTTACTGTTTCATAGATTTCATAGACATTAGGGCTGGAAGGGACCTTGGAAGATCATCAAGTCCAGCCCCCTGCCCCAGGGGCAGGAAGTCAGCTGGGGTCACAGGATTCCAGCAAGATAAAAGTCCAATTGACTCTTAAAGGAATCCAGAGTAGGTGCTTGCACCACCTCTGCTGGCAGTCTGTTCCAGGTCTTGGGGGCTCAGACTATAAAGAAGTTCTTCCTTATGTCCAGCCTGAAACGGTCTTGGGGAAATTTGTGACCATTTAATTTTGTCATCCCATGGGGCACTCTGGTGAACAGGTGTTCCCCCAGATCCTGATGTACACCCCTTATATACTTATGATACACTTCCCCCATTTCCCATTTCCCTCCGTATCTAATATATTTCCTTTTGAAGCATGCAGTATATTCACAAAGTGAACTTTATATTTTAGCAGTTTTGAAGGAGAAATACCTTAAGCAAAAAACTAATGTTGATGGCTTTTGAAATTATATATGGTTAGCACAGGTACTGGCATCAGATATTTAAGTCTTATCCAAACCACTGATATGCATGCACACCAAGGATCCCCCTGATACAATTCACTGAAGGCAGTAAAAGTGTGAGGATGCTCTTTCATAAACAGATAAAAGCCACCCGCTGTTCCTACAGTGTTACAGAATTCTGGTTCTGCAAATGTAGAGCCACTCAGCAGAGGGAGCATAGTCTAAGAGCTATAGGATAGCGTAACATTCTTATGGTAGCTGACAGAAAAACAAGGACATGAATGGAAACACAAGTCATGAGGGCTCCACTTTATCCAACAGAGAAGGAAGAGGAAAAGAAAGATGCCAGCAAAAGTGATAGAAAACATTTTAGATTCATGTTTTTTAAAAATGTATTGTTAGGAGTTAATATTGAATTTAATATTAAACAAATTGATCAAGAAACTAACATAATGCCAGTATGAACTTAATCTCTATTCTCTGATCTCCCTGTTTATTTCTAAGGAGCTGGAGAAGAATGGTGTGAAGCCCCGTCCAATCGCATGATCATATAATATTTTTCTCTATGTTCTATATTTTTGTGTATAGTAATACTTTACAGTGCCATGTATTGTTACACCAAGACAAAAGAGTCTAGGAAAGTGGCATAGCTGACAATGCATGGTAAAACCATGCTATGAACTCTATTTACTCAAATCCACAATGAGGTTTTCTTCCTCCATTCAACATGTGGGAAAGAGACTAGTTTTGGATTCGAGTACCAGCCCAGGGCAAACAGCAGCTCTGGTCTGGGCCTGGGGCCATAACTGGAGCTGCTGCCTACTCCAGAGTCATCAGCAATCTCTTGATTTGAGCACAATCTCTACCATAGCTCATTGATAGGTCTTGAGGTGCCTTAAGAGTCCAATCCTTGAAACACAGATCCATCTGCTGAAGTTTTGGGTCTTTCTGCAGGGGAAAGTAAGCTGCAAGCTGGGATTCCTCTCCTTTTACTTCCTCCACTCTCTTCTCTGTTTCAAGGGCAAGACACTATCTCAAAAAGGGCTGCCTCTCGGATGAGGTTACAGAGCCACTGGAGTCAGTTAATAGCCAGCTCCTCTCAACTCTTGATGCTATATCCGTTTTCCTGAGGCATGCCTTCAATGTGTCCTAGGAGTGTTTTCTCTGGTCACAAGATCTCAGGCTGTTACCAAACTGGGAACACAGCAGTTGTTCTGGGAGTTGAGAGTCAGGCATCCATACACAATGTCCAGTCCAGTGAAGTTGGTGGTTGAGAATCATTAACTCAATGCTGGTAACTTTGACCTGATGCCTTGCTTGGCAGTTAGTTCCACAAGCCCTCTGACTTGGCAGCATCTGTGGGCCAGGGTGAAGCAAGAGCAATATGCAGTAACAGATCTATCACACTGCTCAAGGCCTAGTCCGAACCAGAGTTTTATACTAGAATTTCTGCTGACACTAACAGTGACTTGCTCAAAACAGTGTTAATGCCCATCAAACCTCAAACTCTCATAGCTGGATGTCCATCAAACCTCAAGCTCTCATAGCTGGATCCACCATAAAACTCCAGCAAGTCTGAGTTATACAAACTGATCCAGTCACAGATATCTGGTCTACACTAAGGACCCTGGCAGAAGCTAAATTTAGAATGTGACTAACCAGTTAATCGTGTCTAAAGTAGGAACTCGTATAGTACACACATGTATGAACACACATTCATGCAATTAATGGGAATAAGCCTAAGGGTTCAATTGGTGCCTAAACTACTTCATGCAAGACACTGGGGAGGAATTCTCATAAAACTCTACTATGACTAGGCCATGATGAACTTTCTCGGAAGTATAAAAGTAGTGTAAAAGGAAGTAAAGGAAAGAAGTAAAAGGAAAGTAGTGTCTCAGTTTCTGCACTTTTTGTGGGCCAAATTATCTGCTGCTCCAAAACCAGATTTCAACAGAATTATGCCAGCAGGAAAATTTCATCCCAATATTCTCTTGTTTTTCATTTGAAGCATGAAAGATAAGTGTCAAAGAGATGCTGCTCATTGATGGCAGATTCCAAGTATTTTTATCATTAGTACAAAATGGCCTCTCAAAATATTCCATCCTGCTAGTTGAATAGATTTTTCTTTTCAATAAACCTATAAAATCTAATTTTATTTTGTTCCTTTCTCCATGTTAACACACTGTATTCTAACATGGCATCATTACAAACCATAACAAAATAAAATATGGAAAGGATGATGCACTGAAATGCATATTCTTTCAGAGCTTTCAAAACCAATTCTAGTTGTTTTAATTGATGAAAAACACAGCAAAAAATGTTTTTAATGAAGTTCATGAGCTATGGTACAGTGAAAAAAGTAGCTCACTCAAAGTCAGTTTCTTCCTGTCTTCTGATATTCTCTTCCCTGCTAACACAACTGATATTTTAAAGCTGTTTAAACACATGAACACAGAAATATAAAATTGCTAAAGTAATACTAGTAGGATGGATGCTGTCAGATTAATCTCTATTTCTTGGATAGTGTATTACTGGTAATTTTTTCCTAAGTAAAAAGTTAACCTTCAGTATGCAGAATCATATTAAATTAGGGTTGGAAGGGACTTCAGGGGGTCATCTAGTCCAGCCCCCTGTTCAAAGCAGGACCATCCTCAACTAGATCGTTCCAGTTAGGGCTTTATTGAGCCAGGCCTTAAAAGCCTCCAAGGATGGAGATTCCACCACCTCTCTATGTAATCCATTCCAATCCTTCACCACCCTCCTAGTGAGAAAGTTTTTCCTAATATCCAAGCTAAACCTCCCGTGCTGCACCTTGAGACCATTGCTGCTTGTTCTGTCATCTCTCTTGTATGCAGTGACTTTTGTTTGCATACTAACTTGCAGGAGCTGAATGATCCACCTCATACAACATGCTGACAATCAAACCTGCTTCATAAATGAAAAATCACAGACAAACAGAAAAAAATATGAGATTTCAATAAAACCCACTGGTTTTCAAACTCAAGAACTGCCACTGTGAGAGCATTTCAGCAAATTCACCCTGAAATGAATAAAAACCTAATGGGGACACCTGCTTGATCAGTGGAACGCTTGCCATCCCATCCCATCCTTAGGCCCCATTCTCAACTTGCTCCTCTGCACCTGTTTCAGGCAACTCTCTTCCTCCAACAGACAATAGCTCCCTCTCCTGATTTACCTCTGGTGGACAATAGCTTCCTCTCCTGAACTACCTCTGGTGGGTCCAGCTTCTTTCTGGGTGCTTCTACATGTTTATTAATATGCCATAATTATGGCACATTAAATTTTGTACCTGTGGGCATTTATGCACATACATTTTCATGCCCGGATGCACCAGAATTCACTTGTGTTTTTTTAGAGGGCATTTTTACACATGCAAGCATTTTTAAAGGGCATTTTTACATATTAGAAGGCATTTTTACACGTGCAAGTGTTGCAGCAGTGTGCTTTTGAACTAAAACACTTTGTAAAAATGCCCTCTAATAACAGGTATTAAATGCACTGTAAATCAGCGCTACTGTGCATTAGTGTAGATGAACTCTTTTTAGGTGGCACTTAATGCCCATTGGACTAATCTATTGTGCATTAGAACATTAGCAGAGTTTTTACCAGCCATGCTAATGAGCAGTAGAATTAGTCCCAACAGGCATTCAGCACCTTCTGTAGATGAGCCCTCCAGGTGCCAGTTCAAGTTCAGTCTTCTGCTCAAAACACCTCTCCTTGCCTTGGGTAATTAAACCCCAGATAAGAACACTCCTACCCTTGCCTACATGCTCTCTTTCTAGGACAGTGTCCCAGACTATGGTGGAGCTCTCTTCCTTATCCCATTCTATCCCTAGATATCAACTCTTCCTAATTTTAATTGTGCTTCAGGGATCCTTTCTTATCCCCTACCCAGCTTCATATTTGTTTCTCACCACCACTTAATACTCAACAGAGAGAAAGAAACAGCGAAAGCTTACTTCTCTGCCTGTCCAATGTACCTTTTGGAAACTCTTTTGGAGTAGCAGCCTCTATTGCAGCAGCTGGAACTGCAGTCCAAAGCCAATAACTGTGCCTCCTACCTACAGTCTCTGGTGGCCACAGGATTAGCTCTACTGCAGGCAGAAATCTAGAGCTAACAGGAATATCTCAGGAGGGGAAAAGTTTAATACTATAAAATCACAACACTTGTGAAAACTCAGAGTTGACAACACTGCGGATGTGTTCAGGGGCGGCCTGCTGCAAAAACGAATGAACATGACAAAACTGCCATTTACTATAGTTTGTATTATACCAGAGCTGTTCAACTGGCAGCCCATAAGAAGCTAATGCAGGCTCCTACCCAGTTACTGAAACGACCCCCATTACGCCTGCAGCAGTGGCCAAGGTCTCTGGGGTAGGGCATCACAATGGGAAGTCCAGTGAGCTTCCTGCCCATGAAATAGCTCTAGTGGGGATGCTCACACCAGCTGTTGGGGGGAGGGGGAAGACTCAACCACATGGTGGTAGCAGTAGGGCTGGGGAGTGGGGAACAGTAAAAAGGGGCTTGCACTGATGGCAGGGTAGGGCTTGCATAGCAGGGGCACCAGAAAGTGGCACTACAGCGTGCCACCCCCATGGTATGCAACCAATGCTGTAAGTGGAATATCTGGGGGGTTATGGCAGACCACAAGCCGAGTATGACCAAACAGTGAGCTTTTGTTGCAAAAACAACCAACGCATCCTGGTTGCATTAACAGTGTAATTTGCAAATCAAGGGAAGTGACCCTACTTAGCATGGATGAGGCCTCATCTGGAGTACTATGTCCAGACTTGGGGCCCACACTTTAAAAAAAAGATTTGAAAAGAGGCAACGAACAAAAACTAGTTTAAAACATGGATCCTGATTAGCTTAGGAAAAGAACTGTATGTCTTGATTTCCTACAACAGCAAAGGACCAGACTTGATGATACAGGAGCTGCCGTCCAGTCCTATGCTTGTAGGTAACATTGAGATTTGACCTGAAATGTCCAGATTATTAATATCTGTGTTTATGAAAAAATGCAATGATCCCTTCAGAATTTTTTGGCTGAGGCAAGAGATTCTTTCCAACCTAGTGTCAGGTTATATGTTATACTGATAATACTCTAGTATTCAAGTTATTATACTAAATCCAACTGTTAGAATTTCAGACTAAAGAGTAATTTCATAATTCACGTGTAAAAAAGGTTTTACGCTGTTGTAATTCATATCCAAATAAAATATCAACATACTGACAGTAAGACATGACTTAAGTTATATCCACATTACATAAAAGTGATATAAATACAAAAGCTGTTTCCCATGCCATCAGTCTTCAAATCCTGGGTATGATGAATGCTAAGCCATAGCCCAGAAGCACATTTCTCTCTCTTTTGGATGTGCTCAGGGGATAGGAAGTAGTCTCATCATTACATATCTTAAATGATGCATCACATCCATTAGCCTCAAGGCAGCATCTTTGGATTTATGTCCCTGACTCAAGGCAGATCTTTTATTGATATATTGGACTGTAGTCAATATAGCTGATGATGACCTTTTGGAGATGAAATACCCAGAACTTCTAACATAGAAAAAAAATTATGAGACTAACCTAATACTGAGATTCTGGGGGTGACTTCTGAGGATCTGTCACAACCCTTTAGAAATCTTTCCACACAATCCTGATAAGTTCTAATTTACTCTCATGAAATAATCAGGATCTATTCAATGGAAACTGGTTGCAAAATTCCTTATGCTAAAAATTGTTTGCCCTTACATGAAGATAATTCTAACATTACACTTTGTTTCCCTCCTCCTACTCTTTCACAATAAGCATGAGTTTAATGTTTTCTTCTGAAGAACCTATGTTGTCTACTAAAATATTTCAGTAGCTACCATAGGCAGAAAAATAAAGAGAAAAGCTAGTTTGAAAAAGGAGACCCAAGATCCCCCCCTGCCAGTGGTTGGTAATTATCTATATGTATGCACACCTGGCCATATTGGCCCACACAAATGCTTTTGGGGGGAAATTACCAACTGATAACAGGGGGAGTAGATGGACCACAGAGCTGCCTCATTTTAAGCTTTTTCCCCAAGGACCTGCACCAAAAGACTTGCATCCAGGGGAAGTGATAAATTAGCTCAAGGATGCATACTGTACTAGAATTCTGGACTATGGGATTGTTAGGTTCTATTTTTATTATCTTTTTACTTACCATATTCCTCTGGAATCTGTATGCCAAAAAGCCCCAGGTTCTTCAGTCCCCTTAGCGTTTCTGGTGGGATTTTAGCATCTTGATCAATTTTCTTAGAGTCCACTGAAAATAGATACAGTTTTATAATTTAATGTATGACTGGCTACAGACAGTGTTCCTCCGTGCAGATGTACCTGAATCAGTAGGAAGCATGCTGGCTGCAGCATTCTCATGCCTCCGCCAGCACTGTGGAATCAGCAACAGCAGCAGCACGACCTCTTTCCCCAGTCATGAGAGAATAAAGCTTAAACTAATAAAGCACGACGGTCACACCCTGCTTCCCCCACAAGAAATATTTTCCTGTATTGTGTCAAAGTATTCGCAGCAGAGAACCGGAATAAATTAGAGGTGCACCTATATATCAGCCCATATCGGATTGGCACCAATAAAAGGAAAATTGACATCTTCAGCAAACGGCTTTTTTTGTCTGCTGCAACCAATAATGTCACCAATAAATGCCATGTGCATGCGCACAGACACAGCATGCACGCAGCCAGGAAAGCAGCCCGGCAGCTTGGAGAATAGCATCTTGCTGGTAAGTCTGTGGAGGGGAAGGGCATGGGGGGCATGTGCCCTCCCCAGATTTGTGCAGGGGGTGAGGGCAGGCTGCCTGCTGTGGGCTTGGGGCGGGGGCTGTGCCAGCCTCTTCCCAGCAGGGGGACTAGGTTGGGGCTGTGCTCAGGGCAGGTGGGGGAGGGCCAGGAGGCGGTGCTGGGAGGGGGAGGGCTACAGCAAATTTTGGGGTGGCTATAAAAGTCACCCTGTAGCCCCCCTCCCAGCTTACTCGTACTCCTGTGCCAGGCCCACTCTCTCTCACCACAGAGGCGTCAATCTGTGGCCCCCCTCCCCCCCCATACACCCCCTCTCCCACAGACTTACCAGCTAGACACTGTTCTCCACGCTGCCCAGCTGCATATGGACTATCAGATCGGTATCAGCCAAGATGGCTGGTTAATAAGCGGCCATCAATATCATCCGAAAAAAATCTTTATCAGTGCACCCCTAGAATAAATATATGTTCCAGCCAACTGGCCAAGAATTCAAGCTTCAGCAGAAGCAGATGTGCTTTACCTTTCTAGTTTCTACCAGCTTTTGCCTGATCCTTAATGGCTGTTGAAACCTTGGTCACCTCCCTTGCAGCTGAAGAAGTCTCAACAATCCTTAAATTTGGCCCCATAAGATTAATGGTCACTACCATACAATTTTATACCATCAATCTTAGCTGCAAGGTGGAAGACTCTGACGTTCTGTGTACTAAGGTTACTGCTACAGACAACATAGAAGCAAGTCCTCAGATACATGTCAGAAGAACTGAGATTACTTCTGCTTCTTTGAATATATTACTAAAGAGAGTCAATCCAGAGCACTGTGGTCCACAATGCAAGTCAGATACATTTTATGCTGTGGTTCTTAAAGTAACAATACTGTGAGAAAACTTGACACAGGGGAACCACTATCTCTGGCACTATCCTGCCTGAAAAGTGAAGGTGCTTAAAAGACAGTAAGGAAGAAGGAACTGACTGGAAGTTTCCAATGGCAGTAACTACCTTCCAAACTGTGACACATGAAAAACATGAAGAAGGGAACAATCTTTATATTTTTCTATTATCTCATCATCATGGTCATCACTATTATTATTTCCATGCCAACTGATCATTTAGATGCATGCTACCATGAAACGTTATTCTGCATGATGAAATTCTCTCTCAATTTCACTATGGGGTAAGGTAACATTTTCTAAGAATTTATTCCTGAACTACTCCAAACATTTTATTTCAGGAAACTTTAACTGAGTAGCTGAAGTAAAACTGATCTAGTTACTACCATGCACAGATCCCTACGGTGTACTGAAAGTCAGCAGGAAAAACAAAACAAAACAAAAATTGGATCAATTTTCATTATCCTGTGGCTCAGGGAAGCTATAACCTGAAGCAGAGAGGTTAAAGCCACGTTTCTGAAAAACTTTCTTTAGAAGAAGACTAGCTCCACAGATGCAGATGACACTTGCCTAAAAAAAATGAATTACACAAATGAATTAATTTTACAAGCTCTCCGTGGGACAGAAGGGGGCAACTATGTGCTCTGATGTTTGATTTGAAGGATAATACTAAGTGAGAAAAAAAGTTAACAAAGTAATTCTGACTCCCCTATACAACATTCTTTTTGGCTACAAGGCACATCATATCTGGCATATCTGGAAGTATATGGTTGCCTGATTTGGAAAATTGTTTGTTCCCTTGCTTATTAGAGTGATGCAAACACATCAGCCTGGTGCATGAGAACTGCCAAGCTCCAGAGAAATTCTATTCAGTTGCATCATGCTGCTCTGCCAACCCCTATCAAGTTTCCCAATATTTTGGAAACTCACCAGATTTGCTTTTCCTGCATAGATATTATCCCTGAATATCTGATCAGAAATCACAGAGACCACAAACAAAACTAAACAACTCCCACTGAGCTAGACCATGCAACCTGACTTTTTTAATTCCTCCATGATATATGAGCTTTTGTACTCACTAAAGAGGGGTTTTATTTATTTATTTTAAAAGACAGCTTATTTTGCCCACCTCTGCTGTAAAGCCATAAAAAGTGAATGGAAAATTTGGAGCCAGATGTATGATCTGAAACTGCTTGAATGGCATCCCAGCCTGAATGGCATCAAGAGAGAGACCCAAGTGAGTAATATCTGCAGACCCAGGCACAGCTGGAAGGAGCCAGGCATGAAAACAAAGGGCTAAGTGGAAGTGGGAAATGGCAGTGGAGCTGCCACCAAGGATGGGAGCAGTCGATGGCCTGGGTCACGGTGAGGGAGAGCACAGGCTGGGCAGGGCTGCGTGGGGTACATCTGGTGGCAAGTGCCAGGCAGGAGCTGCACAATGGGAGCTGTGTTGGAGATGTCGCACAGTAGGGGCGACTGGGAGCAGCAGCTCCACGAATGCAGCCAGTCACTGCTGGGCTCATCCTGAAATCCTGGGGTCTCCATAGAGACCATCCAGGACCAGTGCAGGCAGGGCACCTGGCCAGGCAGATGGGATAGAGCCGCTTAGGAAGTTTTGGAGAGCTGCTGCAGACGGAAGAGGGTTCTGACTGCAACAGTTCACCAAAACTCCCTATGTGACCCACAAGCCCAAAAAATTGCTCACCCCTGCTTTACAGCATTCTAATATTTAAAAAAAATACTTTCGGTCACTGATGCACAAGTGAGAGATATAAACACAGATCTCTGGCTGGTGAAGAGAAAACAATGATAGCTGTCAACAAACACAGAAAGAAATCATAAGTTTCTCTGTATTATATTTATAGTAGTATTAGATAATCTCTGTAATTATATTATTTGCATGAGAAAAGAAAAGCTTTACCTTCTTCATGGAAGAATTTTTCTACAGGTCCTACGAATTGGTTGATTTCTTTCAATTCTTCATTGGTAATCTCTGGATAAGGGAAGACTCCCTCCTAAAATAACAGGATTTTTAACAAGATTATGGCTAATTTAACATTAAAGTAGGTTCGAAAAACACACATCTTCTAATAGCTTTCTTCAAAAAAATGGAAATTGTGGATAACTTACTGGAATGACCGTTTAGTGCATCTTTCAGCAAATGAAAAATACCTGTCTATACAGTGCGCTATATTGTTCAGCTGCTGAAACAAACCAGAAGTTGCACCTGAAAATGAGAAACTGGTCTGCAAGAAGAACATGCTGAAACTCATATTACAAGAAATACTAAGATAAACACTTAGTATACCAAAAGGCAGCCAGAAGTTCCTATGCTCCCCATCCACACATCAAGCTCTATACAGTCCATGATTCCTCTGTCATGACCATACCATTTTATCATCCTTTCACCAACCAGTGAAGTTAGCAAACTTTCTGCTTATGGCAGTTATTTGGCCCACATAACAGACAGTCAAGGCATATGTTTACCAGTTATTAATTTACTGTCAGTTGCTAAGGTTAAATGTGATGTGTAGTTTGGCAAGGCTGTGCTACAGGTGTTATCTCATTTACAGCTTGTCTACCTGAACAGATTTCCCTGAAAGGATGAAGCATCAAAGCAAAGGTTTCAAAGGGACAGCTTCAAGGCAAAGGAATCCAAACTCCAACATATACACTGAGCATAGTAAGTGTACATCCCACAGTTCTTTAAGCTGCTGTGGCATCCTGTGCACTGTGGGACTGCTGCCATGAACCATACTGGGATCTGTACCAGTAGATTTGCTTGATATATCTTTTAAAAATGTATTTGGCTAATAATTAAATAAGTTTATGCTCTGAGAAACTCTCTCTCATTTGGAATTTGTCCATCCTGATAATTTAACTGAAAGGCTTGTTTAAGGTCACTGAAGATTATTAGTCTCCCGTTTAAAACTTTAAAGGACATACTAAAGATAACAGCAAAAAAATCCAGTCGGTACAGAATTCAGTTGGTTGTTTACTACTACCATCTCTACCCGATTCAAGACAGCGCCCCAATAACTAGATTCTAGAAATGGAAAATTTAAAATCTTATAATTGTCTATGCTGCCATCTAATTTTTGGAGGGTCATTTTAAATTCGTTCCCCTGCACCTCCACAGCGGGGCAAGCAGCAGCAGGGGAGCAGGAGGCAGGGAAGTCAAGTGGCCTGCCCCCTGTCCCTTGTTGTCTGTCCTCTGCCCCCCCACCCACACAGTGCCGCCACACCCCACACCTGGGCCCATGGTGCCTTTCACCCACCCCCTCCCCCTTTGCACCCCTTCCACCTGCCCTCCTGCTTGACCCTATCCTACAACATGCCCCTCATGCAGTGCCTGCACTCCCAGGGACCTGCCCCACCCACCACTTGCCTGCCCTTTTCCAACCCCGCTCTCCCTTCCCCTTGCTGCTTTGGCTCCTGCTGGGGCTTTGCTGAGGCCCAGAGCAGGGAACACAAAACATGTGCTGTCTCCAGCCCCTACCCAGCCCAGCCACGCAGCAGCTATAATGGCAACAGGTTCAGCCACTCTGTGGCTGGACGCAGCACGTTCTCCAAGTTCCCTGGTCGCAACCCAAGCAACGCCCCAGCAGGAGCTGGAGTTGCGGGGGTGGTGGTGGGGTGTAAGGGGCAGTGGAAAGCAAAGGCCAGAGGGCATTGGGAGTGGGGGTGGGGACCAAAAGCAGCTATAGCTCCAACTCTTGACTCTGGGCTCAGGGTCAGAGTTGTTATGCCCCTTGACTCAAATCTAAGACAAGAGGCTTGTCCACCCATGTCAAATGGTGGACCCCCCCACACCCCGCATCTTCAAGTAAATACAGTGTTTTTTAAATAAAATTTATTTAATTTATTTTCTGGAGCCTGATTTTTAAATGTTTAAAGGGAAGATATTGTGCTTTATAACATTATGCAGTTAGCACAGTTGCATTGTATATCTTTAAATTAAAAAGTTGCTTAGACACCTCTCAAACAAAGCAGTAATGCCTGCTAGATGCAATAAAGTTGGTGTGTTGATGCAATGCTACTTTGAAAAAGAGCTTGCTGCTGTATGGAGTGTTTTCTGAATACATGGTAGGGAAGAAAGTCACAAAGGGAAACACTGCCAGTAAGCAGCTGTTGTTGTAACGGGCACTGACTAATAATACTAACTGATAGAGCTCTTTCATATTCAGGCTGGTAACTGTTTTTACAACTGTTTTTTAATCTGTTGTGTCAAGATTTATTTACCCAACCTCTCTCAGAGGGGCCAGCACAGGAGAGCAGCAAGCTGGGTCCAGGGGTCTGCCTTTTGGTGAGAAACGGGCAGTTCTTACTAGGATGATATTCCAAGAACTATTCTGAGGAATTTAATTTTTCACAATGGCTGTGATGCACACTGCCTCCTGTGTTTCACTGTGTAGAAAGAAACACAGGAGGAGGTCAGGATTCAGTCCTTTACTGCTTAAAGAAAAAGGCAAGAAGAGACTATAGACCAGTGGTGACCAACCTTTTTAGCAGACATGCCACAAATAAGCCCCTTATCATTCCAAGTGCCACTTTGATCTACGGCTGTTTTCTGTTTCCTGTATGATCTGCTGCTGTGCTGCCTGCCCTGACACTTGTGAGCCAACCCTGCTATAGACAAGCCTCAGTGTTCTCCACAAAAGCACCCATAACAAGAGGAGGGCTTTACATTAGGTTTGCCAGGGGACAGACACCAAAGACCTGAGATAAGAGGGTGACCTGGAGGAAGCACAAGCAGGAGGGGGAAACAGGGGAGGCACTCTCATTGTTCCTGAGAAAGTAGGGCAATTGGCTAGTTACCTCAGATGTCTGTGCTTAAATTCATGGAGCCTGAGAAACAAGCAGGAAGAACTGGAAGTCCTCACCCAGTAACAAAACTATGATGTGATTGGAATAACAGAGACTTGGTGGGATAACTCACATGACTTGAGCACTGTCATGGATGGGTATAAATTGTTCAGGAAGGACAGGCAGGGGGGAAAAGGAGGAGGGGTTGCTCTTTATGTAAAATAGCTGTATGACAGTTCAGAGTTTCAGTATAAAACGGGAAAGAGCCCTGTTCAAAGTCTCTGGTTTAGGGTCAGAGTGAAGAGCAAGAAAGGGTAATGTTGTGGTGGTTGTCTGCTATAGACCACCAGGCCAGGAAGATGAGAAGGGTGAGGCTTTCTTCAAACAGCTAACAGAAGTTTTCTGATCACAGGCCCTGGTTCTCATGGAGGACATCAAATCACCCTGACATCCGCTGGAGGGCACTACAGCAGTGAACAAACAATCAGGGAAGTTTTGGAGGGTGGTGGGGACAGCTTCCTGATGTAAGCATTGGAGAAGCAAGCTAGGGGTCATGTTCTTCTTGACCTGCTGCTCACAAACAGGGAAAAATTGGTGGGGAATGTAGAAGTGGGTGCCAGCATAGGCAGCAGCAACCACAAGATGACTGAGTTCAGGATCGTGAGGAAAGGAAAGAAGGAGAGCAGCAGAGTACAGACCCTAAACTTCAGAAAAGCAGACTTGGACTCACTCAGGGAACTGAGGGGCAGGATCCCATGGGTGGGGAGTCCAGGGCAGCTGGTTGTACAGTAAAGAAACCTTACTTGAGGCCTAGGAACAAACCATCTCAAGACATAGGAAGGCTAGTATGTATGGCAGAAGACCACCTTGGCTTAGCAGGGAACTCAGTGAGGTAAAACAAAACAGAAGCTTACAAGTGGAAACTTGGACAGATGACCAGGGATAAGTATAATATTACTCAGACATGCAGGGATGAAATCAGGAAGGTCAAAGCACAACCAGAATTGCAGCTAGCAAGGACTGTAAAGGGTAACAAGTAGGGTTTTTCTACAAGTACATTACCAACAAGAGAAAGATGAGGGAAAGTATGCATCCCTTACTTAATGAGGGAGGCAGATGATGTAGAAAAGCCTGAAGTACTCAATGCCTTTTTCACCTCAGTCTTCACAGACAAGGTCAGCTGCCAGAATACTGCACTTGGAGGCAAAGTTTGAGGAGGAGGTGAGGAGCCAGTAGTTGTGAAAAAAGAATGAGTAGGGACTGTTCAGAAAAGCTGGACATGTACAAGTCTACAGGGCCAGATGCAATGCACCCAATGATACTAAGGGAGTTGGCTGATGTTACTGCAGAGACGCTGACCATTATCTTTGAAAATTTGTGGTAATTAGGAGATCCTGGATGATTGGAAAAAGAGCAAATTAGTGCCCATATTTAAGAAAGGGAAGGAGGAGGATCCAGGGAACTACAGACTAGTCAGCCTCACCACAGTCCCTGGAAAAATCATGGAGCAGGTCCTCAAGGAATACATTTCTAAGAACTTGGAAGAGAAGAAGGTGATTAGCAGGGATCTGGGTTTCCATTTCCCATGGAAAATTGGGAAAAACACAGGGAAAAACATGGATTTTTCATTTTAACAGAGAAACACATGATTTTCCACTTTTGCAAAGAGTTCCAGCCTGCAAGGGGCTGCGTGAAGCGGAAGGAGGGCGGTCATACAGGAGGCACCGTATCACAGCAGCCTGGGGCTTGAAGTGGCAAGGAGCTTCCCCATCCCACCCCACTCTGCCATGCCATGTTGGGTCTCGCCTGCTAGGCCGCAGAGGCCCCAGGGGAGGGCATTAACATCTAGCCCGCATCCGCCCCCCAACCCTCATGGGCTCTGCTTCAGCTGTGCTGCCTGAGGGGGAGGGGGAGCTGGGCGCCACTGTGCTCTGTCACAACAGCTGCCACCTCCCACAGGCAGCAACCAGGGTTTGGGCCCTGCTGCGGGGGTGAGCAGGGGGCTGCAGACCTGGGTCCCTGGCCCCACAGCTGCAGCAGCTGGGGCCCCTCTGGCAGGGCTAGAGGGGGCTGTAGGTAGGGAATGAGAGGCACTAGCAGGGCCATGACACTTTGGTTGGGGAGTAAGGGGCATTGGCAGGGCCCCAGGGGCTGTGGATGGGGAGTGATGGGCCTGGACCTGTGTCCTCATGATCTATAGGGGCAGGGGGAAACTCTGATTTTCCATGATAAAAAACTGAAAATCAAATACCAAAATATAAAGGTACTTAGAATATATTTTATTAGCGATTGAGGCACACGTAGGCTGACAAATTGCTTTAAAATTGTAAATATATAAATAAAACATTGTGTTCTTATATTATTAGTGTTTTTTCATTTTAATCATGAATTTGGGGTTTTTAAAAATCAGAGAATTTGAGAGTTTTTAAACAGAGAATACCAGGCTCTCTGGTGATTAGGAACAGCCAGCATGGATTTACCAAGGGCAAGTGATTCCTAACCAACATGATTACCTTCTATGATTAGATGACTGGCTCTGTGGATGTGGGAACAACAGTGGATGTGATAAACCCTGGCTTTAACAAGGCTTTTGATATGGTCTCCCACATTTTCACAAGCAAGCTAAAGTATGTCCTGGATGAATGGACTGTAAGGTGGATAGAAAACTAGCTGGAACATCAGGCTCAAAAACTACTAATCAATGGCTTGATGTCCAGTAGGCAGCCAGTATCAAGTGGAGTGCCCCAGAGGTTGGTTCTGGGGCAGTTTTGTTCAATATTTTCCTCAGTGACTTAGAAGATAGGATGGAGTGCACCCTCAACAAGTTTGCAGATAACAGCAAGCTGGGGAGAGTAGTAGATATGCTGGAGGGAAGGGCTAGGATTCAGAGACCTAGACAAATTGGAGGATGGAACCAAAAGAAACCTCATAAGGTTCAATAAGGACAAGTGCCAAGTCCTGCACTTAGGACAGAAGACTCCTATGCACTGGTACAGGTTTCTCTATAGAAAGTGACCCAAGGGTTACAGTGGACAATAAGCTGAATATGAGCCAAGTGTGCCCTTGTTGCCTTGAAGGCAAAGAAAGAGCATATTGGGCTGCATTAGTAGGAGTGTTGCTATCAGATCAAGGGAAGTGATTATTCCCCTCTGTTCAGCACTGGTGATGCTGTATTTGGAGTACTGTGTCCAGTTTTGGGCCCACCACTACAGAAAAGATGCGGACAAGTTAGAGAGAGTCCAGTGGAGGGCAGCAAAAATGGTTAAGGGGCTGGGGGAACCTCACGTATAAGGGGAGGCCGAGGGAACTGGGCTTATTTAGTCTGTACAAAAGAAGACTGAGGGGGGAGTTAATTTCAGCCTTCAACTATTTGAAGGGTAGTTCCACAGAGGATGGAGCAAAATTGTTCTCAGTGGTGTGATAGACGAAAAGGAGCAATGGTTTCAAGTTGCAGCAAGCGAAGTTTAGTTTCAATAGTAGGAAAAACTTTTTTGTTAGGAGGGTAGTAAAACACTGGAACAAGTTACCTAGAGAGGTGGTGGAACCTCTATCCTTGGAGGTTTTTAAGATCAGGGTAGACAAAGCTTTGGCTGAGATAACATAGCTGGGAATGGTTCTGCCTTGAGCAGAGGGTTGAACTAAATGACTTCCTGAGGTCCCTTCCAACACTTATTTTCTATTATGGTAACAAGCAATGGACACTGCCCTAGTAGCTTAGTGCAGCAGTGTCCAACTCATCTAGCTCCTCAGGTCAGATGAGTAGCGTGAGGTCAATCTGAAGGCTGGATCCAGAGCACAGAGCTGTCATCTGGCCTGAACGGTTTGAATTTGGTAACAGCAGTGTTAATTGCTGTGATTCCCAGAACCATGGCACTTGCTAACCCTCCTTCTTCCAAGTTTCCACCCCAACAGGCAGTCCCGCAGTTCTGTGCTCTGGATCCAGTCTACAAGGCTTCCCATATGTCTGGAGATTTGACAGCAGGAAGAATGGCAGAAGCATTAATTGTTGCATCTTTGGAAGTCAGGACAACTAACTACTGCTTGCAAGGCCACCATATTTCTGGACCCATGGCAGAGGCCCACAAGCTGTAGAACATGGCTCCACGGCCCGAATCCAGACCATGGACCATAGGTTCGTCACCTCTGGCTTAGTGCAACAAGATGGAGACAACTGAAGAGTATCTTATATTTTTATTAAATGAATAGAAACCACAAGCTATGTTTCTTAATGATTTAAACTCACAGAAAGTGAAATAACTAATACTTTTTCTTTGTCAAATTAACTGATAGCACAGAACCTTTAGTCTGCAAATCAAAATATAATCCTAAAGACTTAAGTTTCAAAATGATATCAGGTTGTATGCAAATAGTCACACTGATTTTCTTTTTCAGACTGGAGAGCATTCACGGCATGGTTTACCACTCAAGTGAGCAGTCTCAGGTTCCAGAGATATTACATTCTAAAAGACAGGGGCACAAAACATAGAAGATACTGGCTATTCCAGAAAATGGAACAACTTAGTTTTTCCTTGGTCTGAGTAGGGACACAACTCACTCCAGGTAATGTCCCCTGGCCTAGCTTGTCTTAAAGGGGGACTTGAGAAAGGGAAATTGCTTGGCAGATTGAGATGGGGAATGTTCCCCATAAAAGGAAAGCATGCAAAGGCAGGCAGAGAGAGGAGTGGGAGGGAATGATTAGTGCAGTAATACTGAAGTGAAAGAACCAAGAAGGGGCACTGAAAGAAACCAAGCAATAGATATAAATTGGGATGGAAGACCATGGTGCTTTTCTGGCTAGAGAATTTGCGGGTGAAATCAGAAAGGAAAAAGACAAACATATTAGGCAGAGTTTTACTAGTTTAGATGTGCATGTTCATCTGGACACATCCCATGAGGACATGTGGTTTACAGCTCTGCAGACCACGTGCACCACATATTTGCTGTGTTGCTAATTTGCACTGGGAGTTGACACCAAGAGTGTCAAAATTCCCGTGTCAAAAAAATAAAAGAGGCACCAGAAAAAAGTGGGGCAGCGTACACATGGCAGCAGCATGCACCACTAGAAATCAGAGCCTGGCCAGTCACAGCCACACTCTAGCTACCAGCCAGGCTCTGCATGCCTGAATTGCTGCCACTGGAGCCCCGAGAGGCCCCCAGAACCTTGGGTAAGGCTGCTGGGGCTAGCCCAGATGCTGGCCCCTGCCTCCCCTACCCCACCTGGGGCAATTTGTTGCAGGCCAGAGCATGTGTGCCGGGGCGGTCCCCAGTAGTGGCACAAATGCATGCCGCTGCTAGTTGTCCCGGGCAATGAATGTTTCTCGCTCGTAAGGACATACCTATGAGGAGCAATGAGCAAGTAAATGAGATAAAAGAACTTGTAATAGTCAAGAGAAGGGGAATAAAACTAGAATAACTTAATATTAAACTAAACATAACACAAAACCTCCCCCAAAGCCCCTCTTGCTGTGTAGGTCAGAAAACAAGAGTAGTGTTTCCCCAGTTCACCCCACCCTATTGCTATCCTGACCAGACCGGCCTGTTCTCAGATCTTGCCATGCGTTTTCCAACTGATCTCAGGGTCTGACTCCTATTTCTTCAAACTCCTGGAAAAAAAGCCCTGGAATTCAACTTAGCCTCATACCCAAGCCCCAAGGCAGTAAATATTCTACCCTTCACTGACATGAGACACAGCCCTGCCCTTGGGCAGCCCCTTAGCCTGAAGTCAAGTAAAAGGTAGAGCAGATTTGCCATTTTAGACTGATCAAAGAGATACAGATGAATGTACCTATATCTCTGCATCTCTGGCCCTGCTGGCATAAGCCTTTTGATGCGCTTAGAGGATCATGTACTTGGGCCCATCAAGGAAGAACTATATGCCTGCCTTAGTAAGGAGTTCACTGAGGACATGAACTGATTTCAGGGGCCCACTAAAGAGAAAACAAGGTTAGGTGTGAGTTTGTAGGTTTAAAATTAATGCACCAAAGGGGGACACTGAGCAGAGTGCACCGGACAGCACCCATGGCCCTCTAACACACCCGAGGAGCCAGTGGACACTTCCCAGGAAAACTGCCCAGAGGCGTGAGTGGAGGAGTGCCAGGAAAGCAGCCCCCACCCACCCAGCTCCTCTGGCCTGGCCAGAGCCGCCTTCCCTGCCAGCAGATGAGCAGCCAGGCCAGAGGCAGGAGGTGGCGGACCCAGAGGACAGCAAGTGGGGCAGGAGAGTGGGCAAGGAAGGCTGTGCTATAGAGGGACCCGGCCAGGGCAACTCCTATGCAGGCAGGCAGGCACAGGACACGGGGAGACTGCAGCTTTCGCGGGCTGAAGCTCCCCTCGCCGGCGCCAGGCAAGTGTCCCCGCTGCCCACCGGCCGCACGGACTTCCCGGCTTTCTCGCGCCCGGGGCCCTTCCCTTTGGCCGCAGGACCCGCCCGAGGATCCCAGCGCGGCCTCACCTTGAGCGGTGTCCCCAGGAAGAAGTCCCGGGCGCCGCGGCGGCGGGGGGCCGCGGTGCGCAGCTGCCGGACCCCGGCGGGGAGTGCGGTGCGCGCCGCCTGCAGCAAGTGTCGGCTCATGCTGTGACAGAGCGCTGTGACCGGTTGACGCGGGCTGATGACGCCATCGATCCGCGCCGAGACATGTGATGACTGCGCCGCGTGGGGGAGGGGCGGCAGCTCCCGGGCTGCAGGAAGGCTGAAAACCGCCGGCTGCTTCCGGTGGCCGCAAGCCGGTATTAACCACCCGTGCTGCTGCCCTGCGGGGCCTGTTCGAGCGCTGACGCTTACGTGCCAGTAGCAAGTGCGGTTGGCAGTAAAAACCTGGTGGGCGGCCCGTGACGCACGAGCAGGGCGGGGCCGGGCCTTACCCAGCGTGTCCGGCCCTGGGCGCATGGTCTTGACTTGTCTTAACCACCCCTTGGTCACAGGCACGTTTGTCAGCGTCCAGCGGCGCTGACGGTCTGGAAGGGGAAGGTTAGGGGAACCCGGCTTTCTTCATAAACCTTGGGGGTTATGCCCCTTCTTAAATCAAAATGACTTAAGTCATTCGTGTGGATATTACTAGTATCACTAGTCCTCTGGTATCAATGCTTGGTTATACTGTCATTCTTCCAGGAGCGGTGGGGCTGGTTCGTTGACTGCTCTGCCACATAATAATTTACAACTGCAGAGTGGTTTCTTCAAACAGGCTTTTTGCTGCCTTGCATCAGGGTTGCATAGCTAGCAGCTGGAAATCCTTACGTCCACCTTCTACCCCGTTACTCTGAGTAGTGCAGATCGTCTGCGTTCTCAATGCTGTAAGCAAAACAGCCTCTCTGCTGCCAATTTCCTCAAACATTTACTTAAGACAGTTTCACATGACCATACCTTTTCAGTTCATGTAGGGGAGCCTTTATGAAAGTGCAAAAAATATCAGTGAAATTGCTGACTGATTATTGTCAGGTCCATTTTGCGACAACCTTGGTAAGAAGAGATGTTCACATGAATACCAAAAGATCTGAGTCTTTTCTTTGCCTTCAGGTGTCACATTAGGTATGAACCAAGCTTTGCCATTCCTGTATCCTGGAGCCCTCTTTGCATGTACTCTGGGTTAAGTTTGGTAAGTTTTCCCTCTGGCTAGGGACACACATTACACACAAACCAGTTTAAGTAATCAGAAACTGGTTTAAACCTGTAACAGAACATAAGTTCAGTGCACATAAACCAGTTTGAAAATGGCTGAAACCAGTTTAAGATAAACCTAGTTGAATGTAGTATCAAACTTAACTGATTTGGGTTAAACCGGTTTATGCGAAGTCTGTCCCTGACCCCTACCTGCTTTAACTTAAACCAGAGTCCCCCAGCATCCCAGATGCTTTGCAACCCTGGGCAGCACTCAGCTCCACAGCAGAGCTGGCCCCACCCCTCTGCTCCCTGGCTGGAGCTCCAGCAGAGACTTAGAGGCACAGCAGGGTCTACCTGGCTTCCCCCTGCCCCAGTGGTGATGCGTATGGGATGCATGGGAGTGTGCACCCCCTGAGAGCATCAGTGCACCCCCTGACCGGCTGTGCTTGCTGCTTACGCCCCCCTGCAAGCGCTGGCCGGGGAGTGGGAGCCCTGTGGCACTCCCAGAAGCAGCCATAGCCACTTCTGGAAGTGACTGCAGCAGTTGGCTGTGGGGGAACCAGTTGGTAGGATCGGCCATGAGGGGACACCTCCCTGGTCGCTGACTGGTTGCTGTGGGGGGGGACATGCCACCTCTGACTCAGGCGGCACCAGTCGCCTATGCCCTGCCCCATCCCGCACCCACCACTCCCTGCTCAAGCAGGGATCCCTCCCCTCCCGTCTCCCACAGCACAGACCATAGCCATCATGTGGTCTGCTAGCTAATGCTGAGAGGTGTCTGTGTAAGGCAGACAGGACAAAGGCAGACAGGACAGTGTCTGCTTATGGCTTTTTGGAGCTAATCAGGTAGCTGTTAATGTCCCTCTATTCCTTTCTTGGAAAAAGTTGTTTAAGAAGAGCTTAAACTGATGAGAGATACTTTTGTTTTGCTGATGGGCTGATAAATGCTGTGCAACTCCCTGCTGTGTAAGTAAATACTGTGTAACTCCCTACTGGCTCCATTGCTAGTCAGAGGAGCAGCAAGGGGGGTGGGGTGCATCCTGCCAGGGTCAGGCTATGCTCCCCCACCCCCCTTCAGCTCAGCACCATGGAAGGGAAGGGAAGACTGTTCTAGCACCCCCAAAATTCTATCCTGAGCCATTGCAGGCATGTGCCGGCATTTCCTCAGTCCAGAAGGGATGTCTGTATGGTTACAAACCGGTTCAACCTAGCCAGGTTAGACTAACCTGCAAAGATTTAATCAATTCAGGCTCAGGCTTTTTGAATGTCTGTCCTTAGCCTCTGAGTACTGTTTAGCAGAGGGATTCTTTTGGCTAGTCCCTTGTCCTCCATCTATCTGTGGTATGCTTGCCATGGCTGATGCTTTGGCTTCATAATACATATCCTAAATATTTCTATCTTTTCCTAGCAAAATATTAACGATTTAACATGAATCATCGACACATGAAGAATGATTAAATTAAAAATGTCGTATTCCACTATATTTTAGAACTTAAGACATAAGGTTAACTAAGAATAATGTTAGTATTTTAATACATTGCATTATTTAGACTGTTAAAAAGTGAGTTTCCTCTGGAATTTAAAACCATGATTTGAAAGAGCTCATTCAGTTTCTTGCCCTCTGATCACATCCCACCCCAGACACTGGTTACAAGAACTGAAGTACTGTGCTCTTGTGAGCTGTGCTCCCAGGGGCAGCCTATTGATGGCTGCTCTTGAACTTTGGTATTTGTGGCTGTAGAAAAGCCATCAGTACTGGGTAAGATTCAGTAGCTCAATAGTTGGGGAAAATCTTCATGGAAAACCATCATCAACCTCTTCCCTTTTCTGCCCAGGGCTTCTCAAGGATGAGCAAAATGGGAAGGAATGGAAGAAAGAGTGGGGTCTGACTATGTTTCCTGCATCGTGTACAGTCGTTCACATTAGAGAAGGCAAAATGCTACTGTTTTGGTTGGGTGTGTTAAAGCTCGGATTGGGCACTTAACTAATTAAGCAATTAAATCAATTCCCATACAAATAGAAGTATATTTAATGGTGGTGGGCCACTCTCAGCAGGGTGTTCAACTACAGCCTGGCGCTACCCCACCTCTGAAGTAATTAATTAGTTAATCAAAGACACAACAACAACGAGGAGAGGTAATAACTAAACTGTATTGAACAGCAATGACAGCCTGTCAGCTGCACTACTCACACACAGAGGGGATGTTGGTCATCCCAGCCCTCACCCACTCACTCACACAACAAACCACTGGGGTTTGGCACAGATTCTGGTGCACTCGCGGACACAGCCCCAGACACACTCTCACCACACAGTCTGTCACTCACAGACTGCCTCCTCAGAATCACTCTCTTGGCTCCACATTGGCCTTTGGCTGCCCCCTTTGGCTGCTGGTCTTTGGTGTAGCTCTCTATGTGTGGGAGTAGTACACCTCCTTAGAGGCCAACATCGGCTCCAGAGAAGAACGACTTGAAATATTCTGGGTCAAA